CCGTCTTGTCTTTTTGTATTTTGACCAGATGCTTTCTTATCGCCTTGTCTTCTTATGATTTTGTCTTTTTGTGAACTATCCTTCTTATATTTTAGTATTTTTGTCTTTTAGTCTAGTTGTCCTCAAACAATCTTGTCTTTATGTATTATTTTTTATCTTTTTGTTTTAATATATTATTATCTTCTTCTCTTCCTGCCTTCTTGTCTTATTGTCTTTTTATCTTCTTGTCTTCTTGCCTTCTTTTTTTTAACTTTATTAGAGAGATTTTTAGCCGTTGGCTAGTTCTTAAAATAAATTTGAGGCCCCAGAGGAGGGTTCTGCCTTGCCTTCTTGTCTTCTTGTCTTCTTGTCTTCCTGACTGTTTGATATTATGTTTTTTTTATATTCTTGGCTTTATAAATTCAAACATTTTTTTTGTACTTTTGCCTTCTAAATTTCTTTTCCTCTTGTCTTCTTGTATTTTGACCATATGCTTTCAGGTCTCCTTGTCATCTCGTGAGCTTATCTTCTTGTATTTTAACCTTTTGTTTTCTAACGGGTGTTTAATAAAAAATGAGAATCATTTCAGTGCCGTCCAGCGCTCTTGTGAGGGCATCGCACCTAATTTGCGGCGTACGGCTGACCAGGGCGCCTTCTTCAATAGTCATTGACATTTTTTGAAGAATAAACATTATGGTTTTAATAAAAAAAAAACACTGAATTCGTTGAAAAAAAAAAAAAATTATTGATAAAAATCTAATTTTTTATTGAACACCCGTTAGTATCCTTGTACTCAAACCTTCTTGTCTTTATGTATTATTTTATGTCTTATTTATTTCTTGTATTATTATCTTCTTGTATTCATGTCTTCCTATATAATTGTCTTCATGTCATCTTGCTTTCTTGCCTTCGGGTCTAATTGACTTATTGCCTTCTTGTCATATTGCCTTCTTGTCTTCTTGCCTTCTTGACATCTTGTCTTATACTCTTTTAGTCTTCTTGTCTTCTTGTCTTCTGGTATTCTTGTCTCTTGTAATCTTGTCTTATTGTCTTCTTTTCTTCTGGTCTTCTTGTCTTCTTGTCTTCTTTTCATGTTTTCTTTTCTTCTACTCTTGTTTAAATTTTTTCTTGTCTTCTTGTCTTCCTGACTTTTTGACATTGTAGTTTTTTTTTATCTTCTTGTGTTACTGGCGTTTTGACTTCCTGTTTTATTAGAAACTAAGAAGACAAATGTTTCTTGCCATCTTTTCTTGTATTTCGACCAGATGCTTTCTTATCGTCTTGTCTTCTTATGATTTTGGCTTTTTGTAAACTTTACTTCATGTATTTTTGTCTTTTTGTTTTCTGGTCTTCTTTTCCTCAAACCTTATTGTCTTTATGTATTATTTTTTATCTTTCATTTTCTTGTATTATTATCTTCTTATCTTCCTGCCTTCTTGTCTTATTGTCTTCATGTCATCTTGTCTTCTTGTCTTCTTATCTTCTTGTCTTCTTGTCTTCTTCTCTCTTCTCTTCTTGCCTTCTTGTCTGCTTGTCTTCTTGCCTTTCTTATTGTCTTCTTATTATTATCTTCTTTCATATCGTCTTGTCTTCTTATGATTTTGTCTTTTTGTGAACTTTACTTCATGTATTTTTGTCTTTTTATCTTCTAGTCTTCTTTTTCTCAAACCTTGTCTTGATGTATTATTTTTCATCTTTTATTTTCTTGTATTATTATCTTCTTGTCTTCCTGCCTTCTTGTCTTCTTGTCTTCTTGTCTTCTTCTCTTCTCGTCTTCTTGTCTTCTTCTCTTCTTGTCTTCTTGTCTTCTTGTCTGCTTGTCTTCTTGAATTTTTGTCCTCATGAATCCTTGTCTTCTTGTTTTGTTTTCTTCTTGTCTTATTGTTTTCTTGTCTTCTTGTCTTCTTGCCTGCTTATCTTCTTGTCTTCTCGTCTGCATTTCTTCTTTTCGTTTTCTTTGTCTTGTTTTCTTCTTGTTTTCCTGACTTTTTGACATGTGTTTTATCTTCTAGTGTTCCTGGTGTTTTGACTTCGTGTTTGTTTTGTCTTCTTAGATTATTGTCGTCTTGTCTTCTTGTATCTTGACCAGATGCTTTCTTATCGCCTTGCCTTCTTGTGATCTCGTCTTTTTGTCAAACGTTCTTTTCTTGTCTTTATGTAGTATTTTTTGTCTCATTACTTTCTTGTATTATTATCTTCTAGCCTTCTTGTCTTATTGTCGTCATGACTTCTTCTCTTCTTGTCTTTATGCATTATTGTTTTTATGTATTATTGTCTTCTTATCTTCTTGTCTTCTTGTCTTCTTGTCTTCTTGTCTTCTTGTCTTCTTGCCTTCTTGTCTTCTTGTCTTCTTGTCTTCTTGTCTTCTTGTCTTCTTGTCTTCTTGTCTTCTTGTCTTTTTGTCTTCTTGTCTTCTTATCTTCTTGTCTTCTTGTCTTCTTGTCTTCTTGTCTTCTTTTCTTCTTGTCTTCTTGTCTTCTTGTCTTCTTGTCTTCTTGTCTTCTTGTCTTCTTGTCTTCTTGTCTTCTTGTCTTCTTGTCTTCTTGTCTTCTTGTCTTCTTGTCTTCTTGTCTTATTGTCTTCTTGTCTTCTTGTCTTCTTGTCTTCTTGTCTTCTTGTCTTCTTGCCATCTTGTCTTTTTCTCTTCTTACCTTCTTGACTTCCTGTCTTCTTGTCTTCTTGAATTCTTGTCTCCATGTATCTTCTTGCCTTCTTGTCTTCTTGTATTATTGTCTTCTTGTATTATTGTCTTCTTGTCTTCTTGTCTTCTTGTCTTCTTGTCTTCTTGTCTTCTTGTCTTCTTGTCTTCTTGTCTTCTTGTCTTCTTGTCTTCTTGTCTTCTTGTCTTCTTGTCTTCTTATCTGCTTGTCTTCTTGTCTTTTTGTCTTCTTGTCTTCTTGTCATCTTGTCTTTTTTCTCTTCTTACCTTCTTGACTTCCTGTCTTCTTGTCTGCTTGTCTTCTTGAATTCTTGTCTCCATGTATCTTCTTGCCTTCTTGTCTTCTATTCATGTTTTAATTTCTTCTTGTCTTCTTGTCTTCTTTTCATGTTTTCATTTCTTCTTGTCTTCTTGTCTTCCTGACTTCGTTTTGACTTCCTGTTTTATTAGAAACTAAGAAGACAAAAGCTTCTTGCCGTCTTGTCTTCTTTTATTTCAACCAGATGCTTTCTTTTCGCCTTGTCGTGATTTTGTCTTTTTGCGAACTTTTCTTCTTGAATATTTGTCTTTTTGTCTTCTAGTCTTCTGGTCATCAAACCTTCTTGTCTTTATGTATTATTTTTTTTTTCTTTTTGTTTTCTTGCATTATTATCTTCTGTTCTTCTCATCTTCTTGTCTTCTTGTCTTCTTTTCATGTTTTAATTTATTCTTGTCTTGCTGAATTTTTGGCATCATGGATTTTTTTTATCTTATTGTGTTACTGGCGTTTTTGATTTCGTGTTTTATTTTTTAATTTTTGTCTTCTTAGTTTCTTGCCGTCTTGTCTGCCTGTATTTTGACCAAATGCTTTTTTATCGCCGAGATTTTGTCTTCTTGTGAATTTTTCTTTTTGTATTTTTGTCTTTCTGTCTTCTAGTCTTCTTTTTCTCAAACCTTCTGTTCATTATGTATTATTGTTTGTCTTTTTATTTTATTGTATTATTACATTATTTTCTTCTTGTCTAATTATCTTCTTTTCCTCTTATCCTCTTGTCTTCTTGACTTCTTTTCTTCTTGTCTTCTTGTCTTCTTGTCTTCTTGTCTTCTTGTCTTATTGTCTTCTTGTCTTCTTGTCTTCTTGTCTTCTTGTTTTCTTGTCTTCTTGTCTTCTTGTCTTCTTGTCTTCTAGAATTCTTGTCTTCATGAATCCTTGCCTTGTTTTCATTTCTTCTTTTCTTTTGTATTCCTGACTTTTTGACATGTTTTTTATCTTCTTGTGTTCCTGGTGTTTTGACTTCATGTTTTTATTTGTCTTCTTAGTTTCTTGTCGTCTTGTCTTCTTGTATTTTGACCAGATGGTTTCTTATCGCAATGTCTTCTTGTGATCTTGTCTTTTTGTCAAACCTTCTAGTCTTCTTGTCTTTATGTATTATTATTTTTTTCTTATTATTTTCTTGTATTATTATCTTCTTGCCTTCTTGTCTTATTGTCTTCATGACTTCTTGTGTTCTTGTCTCCATGGATCTTTGTCTTCTTGTCGTCTTGTCTTCTTGTCTTCTTGTCTTCTTGGCTTATTGTCTTCTTGTCTTTTTGTCTTCTTGTTTTCTTGTTTTCTCGTCTTATTGTCTACTTGTCATCTTATCTTCTTGTCTTCTAGTCTTCTTTTCTAATCTTCATTTCTTCCTGACTTTTTGACATGTTTTTTTATCTTCTTGTTTTCCTGGTGTTTTGACTTCGTTTTTTGTCTTCTTAGTTTCTTGTCGTCTTGTCTTCTTGTATTTTGACCAGATGGTTTTTTATCGCCTTGTCTTCTTGTGATTTTGTGTTTTTGTCAATCCTTCTTGTCTTCCTGTCTTGATGTATTTTTTTCATCTTTTTGTTTTCTTCTATTCTCATCTTCACGTCATACTATGATATTGTTTTCTTATTCCATCAAAACCAGTCTAACCCCTCACGCAACCCCAATCAACCATCAGTTCTTACCTCCGCTATATCACAATCTCACAAGCATGCTCTCTCTCTCTCTCTCTCTCTCTCCTTCTCCCACAACATCTCAGAGTTGATAACAAGCTGCAATCATATGGTCCCGACTGGACTGGTGCTACGACATTCAGCAAGTGTTGTCACCACACACCGCACAACATGCGGCGCCTATCTTACTTGCGATTGCAGTTTTGTGTTTGTCGTGTAGCAAAGGTACCCAAATAGACAACACCACCAGGCACCAGTAATCACCCCCACAAGCTAAAGCCACATGCGCGCGCGCGCTGCGCTGGTAGCTTGCCATTCTCTTATCAGTTCAGTTCGGTTTCGACCGTCGCGCAGTTTAGTTCGATCGGCAAAGGGGTCTCCCCCCAACGAGTGTATGTGTCTGTGTGTAAGTTCTTGGCCTAGTAGGTGACACGGGAAAGCATTTGCGCTTGGAAGAAAGGGTGATTGAGAAAGATTATCTCAATTGAGGTGGACAAGTGTCATTGTATTTGCTGAAGACTTTTGTGGAATTAGGTTCGAGCTATAAGGAAGAATTCAAGGTAAGCAGCGCGACAACAATATTTCTGCCATCGTTTTTTTTTTGTTTTATCTATAATTATATAACATAACCTATTTTGAAAGTTGTGTCAAACTGATAACGGTTGATATAACTGCTTTTTTGTATTAATAGACCATTGCAACCAACTTGATTAAAAATAGCAATTCCACACATTTTCAAAGACCTATGGAACAATGAGCTTAAGATAAGATAAATAAGCCGCATATAATAACAGTCCTAAATGAGCTGAAAAAAGCTGAATAAAAAAACCAAGCTGGATTGACCCATTCTTAGCATTGAGCAATTCAATGTAGTGTTTGTCCATTCCGAAAGTGTGACCATATCATGGAAACCACAAATCCGATTTCCCAACCATCCTGGATGACCACAGTTGGCATGGAAATGGTTGAAGTATTGTGCAAAAATCGTACCAACTGCGGAACGCTTTTCGCTGATTTGAGCTTATTATTGTCCACCGTCGCACCACTGCCATGATGACGATGAGATACAGTCCAATAATTGGGCAATTTGTTTCAATTGAAGGGGAATGCAGCGTTTGGTTGCAGTGCAAGACTATATGTGGGTGTACAAGTGCGGTTGTCGTCGGTGTGTGTAGTGTGGTGATTGGAATTTTGGTTTCGCCAGTTGGAAGTTTTTCATGTTTTCTAAAATGTGTGTAGGATATATGATTTTCAGGATTTTCTGAACCAATTCTTTCTGATGAACCTACCCACTGTAGTCAGTTCAACCAAAATCTCCTATCAATCTCAGAAGAAATGAGTACCAATAATTCCCCTTATCTTAACTGAAGCTCATTTGGAACTAACCTTTCAATTGCAAATTGCAGCTCCAAAAACAACTTCCATCGTGCACACGATAACCAATCCCCACCGAAATAGGGTACTATCGCAAATTGCCCGATTCTTTGTCTCCACCGAGAGATGCTTGATTACCCAAAGACATTGTGCTAAATTGCCAAGATGCACTTGATGCATAAACTGCTCCCGGACCTACCTATATTACAGTTCCCCTCCGCTCTGGCTGGTTGTCAGCAGCAAGCACTGTCACCGTAGCATTCCGTTGCTGGTTTTTGTGCTGGTGGGGAATGTTCTTGCGGGATCAGAGTTTTATCGTATTCCGCTTCACCAAGTGGAAAGCTGAAAAGTAGCTCCGCTAGAAAATGAGCATCGCCACCGGCAGAGTTCAACCAACGGAGCAGAAACAAAAGCAACTGCTAGGGATGAAAATCGTAATTATTCCTGTGCAGAGCAAGTACTTGAAGAAATTCCGAGACAAACTGCAAAAGGATTGCCAAGAAGTCAAGTCGTGGATTCGAATGGCGAGTGCAGTCATCGGAAAATTGAAATTTGCCATGTCAATCTGAGCTCCCGTCAGTTTCATGGGATGTACACGAAGGCAAGAAGATGAGTTGAATGAAAGCTACCACCTTCATGGCGAGTGTCATCTACACCTGATGTTCTGGAGTATTAGTTTTCTTTATCCACCCATCACGGAGAAAGTTTAAAACTTGTCATCACCATGGATTAGAGCTGAGCGTACACCATGTAGAAGAAATTTAGTTCTTTGTGCGGATGTCTCACCACCGCACACAAAGTTGAGTCAACTCGAGAACGACGAAATTTTCCTTCATTCAGCAACTCGGTGGTCGTGGAAAAACTAGCAGCAGGAAAATCCAAAGGCAGCCGAGAGCTGAACTGCTCGGATAACTTTGAAGCCGGCGTTCTTCTGCAGTCATGTTGGAGCATTTTATTGACTCGCATTTTGTACGAACTGTCACGGGCAGCCCTGGGGGTTAGAGGAAAACTAACGCTGGCAAGTTGCTTATCTTGCGGTAATGGGTTTCGGTTTTACGTTGGCTTTATGTTTTATTGATAATCACAGGAAAATTGTGCAAAATAGACCACTATTGGTCTTCTGCCGTCGATGAAACCATGACCAATCGAGTGGCAAAATTAAGTTCCGCTTGTTGGCTCGATTTTTCCCACTGTGATGGAACATTTCAATATTGAGTCTCTTTCAAAAACACCGTGAGCCTCCTCTATAATCCTATGAGTTCTCGAAATGCTGCTGCGGATTAGTAAAATGAAAACAAAGTGTAGTCATAGTGTAGTGTAGTATAGTCAAATTATTAAGATGAAAATGGTCGTTTGTCACTTGGCTTGTGTTTTTTTAAATGACTGTGTTCGATGGCATGTTTCAAGCTAAAATTTGTCCATGTATCGTTCATTCTGGACTGATGAATAAAATTGGACTAGCATGCTATCATTGGTGAGATCCTGAGACCACGATTCTGGGCAGCGCTACTTTAGTTCAATCGCTACCAAACGAAGTCAACGCGTGATATGAATGTTTACACCCATTTTCCTCAAAAACAAAAGAAACGCTCCAACCGAATCACTTTGTATCTTCATCCAATAGGCCGAAGTGCATTCAATGGCGTTTGAATGCGTTTGGCCTGATTTAGAATCCGTAGGCCGAGTTTGGGGTCAAGATGCAGTGTTATATTTTTAACAATATCTCAACAATTTGTTTCTCATTATAAAACATACGTACGGAAAGGTAAATAAACTAAGAAATCCACTTTAAAAATAGAGGTGATGGGTGGTCCAAATTAGATCTAAGCCCTGCCTTGTTTTTCAACATAATTCTGCACTCCTTTATGTAACCTATTGCAACTTGTGCTTCTTGGCCTAACAACTGCATTCTGGGTTCCATCAACAGAAATCCAAAACTTAAATAGAACCGAGTCAATCACATACTACGAAAAGGTAAGAGCGCAGTCAGGACTTTAAATAGGGAAGAGGGCGGTAATTTTGAATTATGTTGGACGATTCGCGCAGAACGCTATAATGCCGACGTAATAAGACTAGGTTAATTGAAACTTCTGTCAAACAGCATAAGTATTTCTTAAGTTTGCGGTAGCAAATTCCACATTCCTGTATTTTCCTGGAATTATTAAAATTTTCCCGGTCGAGTGAAATACATTTAAATCAAGCATAATATCAAATGCAATTGAGCCAAAAGGATCGGTAGGTTGGATGAGTCATTACATAGATAGAAAAAAATTACCTATGTACTAACTACCTTGAAAACTCGTAAAATTCACCACAGTATTTCATTAGAATGTTCTCATGAATTATCTCTAGAATCTATGACACACAAAGTACTTTTCAAAATTAATTTAAGATAAGTTTGAGAATCGCTCTGAGATTCACACAAAATATAACAGTTCAGAAATTCAATGCAGGAAATTCAAAGCAACATTAAATACATATTGAGATTGCAATCGAATTTTTCATTATTCTCTTAAAGATTCACGAATTTATAATAGACTTATGAAAAAAAGTGATCCTATAATGAGTTTGTTTGAGTTTTCCACACAAATTTAATGTGATTAATCTTTGAAAAGACAGGAAATTCTGTTTAGACCTGTCAAATTTCTTCTCGAAATCTCCTTGGAATATTCTTCTCAGAATTCTCTTGGAAATCTTTTCAGAATAAATTTCAAATCATATTTAGAATTATCATGGAACTTATCCTAGAATTTGTGTGATAGTTCTACCATCCGGGTTGCTGTTCGTTTATGGTGTTTGTTTTTTGGGGTTTTCATTAGCAATGGACCAGGATTCCTTTACATAATCGCTGACTTCCCATAATCGAACTTTCCTCAGAAAAGCCAACAAATTCATTTGGAGTTTTTCTAATAATTACCTTGGAAATATTTCGTCCATTTGACATGGAGTTCTAATCAATACTCCCATAGAGTTCTTTCCTTAACTTCCTAGAAATGTATCTCTAAAATGGGAACGGGACAATTCAAGACCAACAATTGAAAAGGGCCTAAGACCTAAATGTAAACATTTAGAAAAATGGCTATTAGATTGAACGTTATATTTTTAAATCCGATTTAAAAAATACATAAGTTTGTCTAATTTTAAAAGTGTAAGGTGTTGAAATAAGATGGATTGAGCATTATCTTGATAAAATAATTGACTTTACCAGCTTATTTTCATCAAAAAACAAAAAAATATATAATCCACCTCTGTTTGGATGGAAAACATCATGCGCCCTTTTTGTTATGGCTCTCAGATGTCAGTTTTTCTGATGAGGCCCACGTGATAAGGCTTTTGTTTACCGAAAAATAACAAAAGCCCTTTTCGATACGGCTGATTGTTGATATCGTTTTCTTGAGGCCACTATATTTTTCAATACAATCAATCAATTTGTTTTCGTTCGGAGAAGGAGAGACCTAAATTTGCTTTAAGGCAAGTATCGGTGTGATATTTGTGAAGAGACGTGTGTTTCTAGCTTACTGCTGATGTGTCACAAACGGGAGTCTATGGATGAGAAGAATTTCTGCGTTTGCTCGAAACGTTTCAGCAGGGCTTGTAAGCTGTTAACGACGAACGGTGCCATTAATGCGAGGATTGCCACAGGAGTTTCCAGGACCGTGTGACGCTAAGATGGCATCAGAAACGGTTCTATATGGGCTGAACTCCGGCGTTGAAGGTTGATCGCTGTTAAGGGCGCTGTTTGCATTGTGATGTAATAATTAATAAAATCGGTTTTATGTTAAGATAATATTGTGAAAAAAATTGATTGAATGAGAAAAAATAAGTCAATTTGGACAAGACAAATGCAGTTTTATTGAACAAATCGGAAATCACTATGGAACCTCCTCTTCATCGGCTTCGTGAATATCCATATCGTCTTCGAAATGGTATTCTTTGCCGGATTGTTTTTTCTTCCTCGCTTGGCAGGCACTAAGTTCTTCAAAACCGTCTCATAGTACGCCTTGTTGTTAATGTACGGTTGAAGGTTCTTTAAATCCTCTAGTTTTGCTTGTGGAAGAGGCAACGGTGTCGTAGTGATTGGTGTGAGTACTGGAAGGGGTGTTTGACGCAAATGATCTTCTGGAGCTATGACGAATTCCCGGAAACACTCATCATTTGGATCAATCTTATAAAACACCCTTCCCAT